TATAATTTTTTTAAAAAAATTTTCTGGACCGTTGCCAACGGTCAAATTCAAAAATGACCGTTGGCCAACGACCTTTTTTTGCAGAAATGGCCATTTCGGCCTACCCCCTTAAGAAAATAGCTTCCCCACCCCTAATATTTGATAAATTATAATTTTAACCTTTTAAAAACTATAAATAGCCCCCCTTCTTCTTCATTTTTCCTCACAATTCACTCTCTTACTACTCTAATTCTCTCTCAATTCTCTCTTGATAATGTTGATTATTGTTCTTAAATTCTCAATTACTTACTATTTCAAGTTTCATCAAATATTTAGTTTAGCCATTACAAAATTATTATTATCAAATATTAAGTATTCGAGTGAAGTATGGTATCAAGTATCAACTATCAAGTATCGATCTATCAATTGAATTTTGATTTTTGATATCAAATTTAGTGCGGCATCCGGAATCCCGGTACACTCGTTCCATCTCTTTCTCTTCTTTGGTGTACACGTATTTTATTATTTAGAATTATTAATTTAATTTACATAATGGATATATTTAGAACAGCCAAAAAAGCATGCACTAGTAGAGGTGTCAGTAAGAAAACTTTCAAAAGATCAAGAGGTGGTGCTGGTTCTTCTAGTAGCTTTACACATATTTTTGAAAGTTCATCTGAAAATTTAAATTAGATTATGAGCGATTTCAAAATAATTATGGTATAGATGATGATGTAGATGATAATTTAGATGATATTCAATCACCTGATAATCTTAAAACACCACCAGCTACACCTGGTAATGCTAGTCAAACTCAAAATATTAGGGGTGGAGGTCGTGGTAATACAAGTAGGCCTCCCCTCCCTATTAAGAAGAATCAAAGATTAAGAAGTAAGTGTTGGAATTTTTTTGACAGACTAGAAGAAGATAAAAATTATGTAAGATGTAGAATTTGTAAGGATGCTTATAAACATGAGACCGGTAAGGGAGGGGGAACGGGTCAACTTCGTAGGCACATGGTAGAGCACCACCCTCTTGATTGGGGAGTAGATGAGGAAGATGGGCAACAAAAACTTAATCCGGGTACTAGGGGGTTAATGGGTAAATACGATATTAAGAAAGATCGGGAAGAATTAGCTAAAATGATTGTTTTAGGTTGTTTACCTTTTAGTTTTGCTACTTTACCATATCTTGTTACTTATATTCAAAGAATTTATAACCCTTTGTTTAAAGGTATTCCTAGAAGTACTTATAGAGCTGATATCTTTAGGCTTTTTGGACAATATCAGACATATATACGTTATTTGTTCGCCAGTCTTTCTTGTAGAGTTTCTCTTACTTCTGATATTGGCCGTGCTGTAAATGAAAATAATTATTTGACTGTTACATGTCATTGGATAGATGATAATTTTTGTATGCAAAAACGTATTATTGCTTTTAAATATGATAAAGATCAAAGTCATACTGGTGCATTTATAAGTAATACTATCCATGAAGTTGCTATATTTTATAATCTTGCAGAAAATATTTTGTGTATGTCATTTGATAATGCTTCTAACAACAATATTGCTATTATAATATTAAAATTGCATCTACACCCACCACTTCCTGAAATATTTCATATTAGATGTGCATGTCATATTTATAACTTGATTGTGAAGAGTGGCCTTGAATTATTTAGAGATGATATCACTTTAGTTAGAAGAGCTGTTGGTGTAATTCAAGAAAATAATAGAAGTGCTAGATTAAATACATTTAAGGAAAAACGTGTACTCTATGGACTAAAACCAAAACTCATGCCTGAAGAAATAGTTACTAGGTGGAATTATACTTATTTATTCTTAAAATATTGTTATAAATATAGAATGCCTATAACTGAAATTGCTAATTCTCATTGTACCAATCCTAGCCGTTTGTTAACATCTAGAACTTAGGATGTCATTGAAGATGTTGTAAAATTTTTACAAAAATTTTATGTGGCTACACTTGAGTTTTCTGAAGCTTATTATCCTACTATTGCAAATGGTTTAGTTCATATTGCTGAAATTTCTCTTTTACTACATAATTTGAAGAAGAAAGAAGGATATACTTCTGTTGTTGAGTCTATACTAGATAAGTTTAAAAAATATTTTTACCCAATTCCCCCTATTTACCTAATTGGTGCTATTTTAAACCCTTCTATCAAAATGGTCACTTGTCGCCAATTAATCATTGCTTTATATTCTTATATGGATATTGGACCAACTGAAACTCCTGATATTGACACTTGTATTTCTGATCTACACAAACATTTACAAACTTTATATAATTATTATGCTAACATTGTTGATGCTTCTTCTGCTGTAGATGCAAATATTCTTTCAAGTTCAGTTTCAACATCTGGGACCGGTGCTTTGGATGATAATGATGGTGTTGAAGATTATTTGATTTGGTCTACACTAGGAGAGCATCAACAAACCAGTAGCAGGAATATTAATGAACTCCAATTCTACTTGCAAAAGTCAGCAGAGCCTCGCACAAAGGAATTTCTACCGCTGGGTTGGTGGAGGAGTAACTCAAATCAATTTCCTGTTCTTTCGGCCATGGCTCGAGACGTGCTAAATGTGTCGACTTCAACAGTCGCATCAGAGAGCGCATTTAGTCAAGCAAGGCAGCCACTAGGAGATACCTGTCATTCATTGGCCAGCAACGCTTTGAAAATTCTAGTGTGCTTCAGAGATTGGATAAGATCAGAACGGCGAAATCAAGGGCGTGACGAGGTAGATGAAGCGGAAGACCAAAAAATTAGAGATATAATAGTTTATGGTTCCGATTCAACCAATGCCGGAAACCAAGAACCTCACGTTGACATGGATAAACTTACAAAAATGATGCAAAGCATGTGATGTACTATTTTTTATTTTTTATAATTGTTGTAAACTTTTAATTTGCAAGTTCAAAAATAAAAAAATCAAAAAAGAACTTGCAAATTAATTTGAAGTATTATATATTATTCAATAAAAATATCAAATGAAAGCCTTCGAAGCTTGATCCTTACATATTACATATTTTGTAGCCACTTACTTTCAAATTTCAATTTTAAAATTTTAAAATTCAAATTTTAAATTTAAAACTTTAAACTTCAAAGTTTAATTCTAAGCCTTAAAAGTTTGCAAACACTTAAATAACAATAACATTGAATAAGAAAAACAAAATTTACTTTTAAAAAAAAAAAAAAAAAAAAATAGCCCGGCCCGGTCCGGACCCGTTAAGCCCGAACCCGGACGGGCCCAAAAAACCCCGAAAATGTACAACCCGCTAATTCAGCCCGCTAACCAGCCCGAAATGTTAAACGGACGGGCTGATTTTTTTTGTGTACAGCTCGTCCCAGCCCGCCCGTTAAACGCCCATAGTTAAAACACAACATGTTGCCTCAAAAGATCAATTAGCAGACATATTGACAAAAGGATTTAACAGAATACAACATGAGTCATTGACTGGCAAGCTGTAGTACTTAATGTATTTGTACCTGCCAGCTTGAGGGGAGTGTGGAAGTACGAGTTACTTAAATAAGGTGGCATTATTGTAAATAGTTAGATAGGCTAGTAAGCTAAGCTGGTAATTAGCTGAGCTTACAAATAGAGGCAATTATTTTTTGTACAGTGAAACCGGAACATTTCTCTTCTTGGCTAATAACAAATTTCATTTCTTCTTCTCTATTCTTCTAGTTTCCTATCAACAATCTAGGGTTGATTGCTAAATCACCATAGATTAATATTTTCTTGAGTGTATCTCAAATTGTTCAAAAATTTAACATGTCTATTTCTGTCGGTTAAACGTTTAACCTCAAATGAGTTGAATCAATTTTCCAAGTTTTTTTTAATGGATCCGCAATTACATTAAAGTTCCCCCTACTAGCTACAGGAAGTTAATGCAAATTGATAGGTCCTTTGATCATCGAGTACACTATCGATTTCCACACTTATCCCGGTTGGTCTCGTCTATGGATTTTCTTTCCCTGTCCTATTGTCGAGACGGATGTGGCCATACCCAGAGGACTATCGCATCAGCAAGACGACTTTCTAGTCAGATCCTTCCTGCGCTTCGGATATGAAGAATTTACAAGATTGAAGATAAGACAGAACAATTGATTAAGTGAAGTTATTGGCTGGACGGAACTCTGTTTCATCTCTTATTTGTTCGATCGCCAAACCATCATCTTAAATACTACTTAGTATATGACTAACTAGATAAAAGAATGAAAGTTAGCTACCAGTATATAAAGGGGAAACTACGCATGGATGTTACGGCTGAAAAGAAAAAGGCTGCAAAAAGGAAATATTCTTCTGCTATTCATCCTTTTGCAAGCACTCTTAGGTACTTGTGCTCTTAAAAGGCACTCAGACACTAACACTCATATATGCTGCTTTCAATATCATAATAGACAAACTTTCAATTCAAGACTTGTTAAATTGACCTGCTATATATACTATTCTAATGTGTATTCTCATCTGTTTGTTTTGCAGCAAATTCTAAGCAATTGTTTTATGGGGGGGTCTATTTTTTGTGCACAAGAATGTTTCCCTATTGCTTCTGCAATTTAATTTGTAAAAGTACATCGTTAAAACTAGAAATAACTTTGAGAATATATCCTTACATCTTATTACAAATCCTCTTCTTCATCAAACTGCTATTACTAACAAAGCAAGTTCAAGTTGATTATTACCATTTGTCCACAAAATATTTGAACAGACATTATTATACGTGGTCCGACTTGAACTGGCGATAGTATCAATTTGGAGGCATAAGAGTGTAATCATGTGGTGCTTTGAGTTGTCTGATTAGGCCAGAGATGCATGATATGCCTAATGCTTTCACTTCTTTCCATTAGTCGACAAAATTTTGATAGATAGGGCATTATTTCTATACATGGCGTTGACCTGCTAACTGAGATAAGTTTAAATGGAGTGACATGTACAGTGAAGATTCATATAGCGGATCTCAACTTGCTTGGAATTGAGTCTTAGTTGGTGTTGTTGTATGATGTTGAACTACTGATGGTATCAATTTGGAGGCATAAGAACTGCAGCACCAAACGACCGTGTGGTATTTTGAGTTGTTTGATTAGGCCAAGACATGATATGCAGTCTAATACTATCACTTCTTTCCATTGCTAAATTGAGAGTTTCCTTAATATCACTATGATCACAGCAGTATATTAGACCTTCTGGGCTAACAGTTGAAGGCAAAAGACTTTTTCCTTCTAGCCTTGAAATCACAAGAAGTTGCTCGCTTTTGTTTGCTTGCTCAAATAAACGCACTAAACTGGCTCGTTCTGCAGCTGTCCCCTTTGTTACTGAGTATATACTGACAAATCCCTAAAAGGAAATTTCAAAAAAAGAACATGTTAAGTAATTTAACTTAAAACATTTCGTAGTAACATTATTTACTTTGCTATTTTCAGAAATGAAAAGGCGATGACTGTTACTTCATCTGTTCGTTTAATGTCTATTCCGAATCTGGTTTCTCCTGGAACAGGTGTTAGTTCAAGTGGAATCTCTTCAATTCCTGGTAGATACCATAGCCTTACTCCTTGCGCGGATTGGTTACCAATGTTGTTTCTCCTCTCCTATACATAAAAAGCATGAAGAGGAAAAAAAATTAGTTCATAATGAAACTTTTAGTTAGAGTATAATCAATTGAGTTTACACTGACAGGTACTGGTTAGTAACCTGAATAAGGCACGTTACCTGCTACAACAGGTTAACAGTGTAAAAATTCTTTATATTGTCAGTGTATATGTAAGTCAAACCTTATTATCAGAAAAGTTAGAGAGTAATACCAAATTGCTTATTTGCTCAGTTTGAATGTTAACGAATACAAGGGGGATTCCTGAAGATACCGCTGCTGAAAACCAGGCCATGGTTCGAACTATTGTGGCTTCTACTCTATACTCTCTTGTTAAAGGCATGAAAAGTATGGAGCTAACAACTGTGGAACGAGAATCGGGTAGATAGGTTCCCACCTTCATCTTCCAGTCATATTGTAATCCCATTTGGTTATATCCCCGTGAGCCCGAATTTACCATTCTTCTGCTCATTTCTGCACCATCCAAAAAAAAAGAAAAAACTGTTCTTGAACATTTTATGTACAATGTTCCTGGCAAAGAGTTATATACATTGACAGTGTAAAAATTAGCGGAAAACAAACAAACAAAAAATTGTACCCTGGAGTTCAGTGCAACGTCCCAAAGTTAATTCTGCTATAACAGCAAGATGTCTGTCATCAGATGCTGCTCTAACCACAAACCTTTTTTGCAGATTGGAACGTCGTTCAACTAAGACATATCCCCTGAGTTTAAGTCTACTCTCTCCCCTTCTAACTTTCAACCAAATGAAATGTCCAACAATTTTACCAAGAAATAAAGCTAACTCTGACCATGCCTTGGCCTGAACAAATGAATCATCATCAGCAGCTAATTCACCAATGCCTTCTATTATGTCCCCTGGGAGTGGCATTGTCACATCCCATCCATCTGGATCTTTTTGCCTCACTTTCTTTACACCAACTACTTTCTCAGAATTCGCCATCTTCTTTTTCTTTTTCTTCTTCTTGAAGACGGAACAGTAGTATTTCTTGATTAGCCGCAATAGCATCATATATATCCAACACTGATCATACCTCTTGTCAAAAGAAGTTAATGAACTCGAACACGGACATCTCTAGGTGGAGTGGAATTTCTAGTTGTGAACGTTGAAAACGTACTATGGTTTTCAATTGACTGCTTAGAGAAATATCCTCCATTTTGATGTTTACGAAGGGTCACTTAGCGAACAGGCCGGCTCTACTTATTCTTGTGAGCAAAGACTCAACCAAGTGATAGTACAAAACAACACTCAAGACAAGAATGAAATTATTCCAGAACATGGCATTATTCTCTATATTGAATGAGAATACAACAAGCAAAACTTTTGTCCTTTAACTAGCTAGGGAGTTGGTATGAGTACAAACAAAAATCATGCATAGAACAACCAATGAAATGTAGTCTAAGAAAATAATTGATCACTTGTCTGCCTATATTTTAAGACTATTGGAAACGCGGAGAAAATAAACTGCACCCATTTCCCCTGATACATGACAAACTTTAACATTGAAAATAATCTGGGAAGGAAGAAATATGAAACTCTATGTACTGTCTATACACAATTGAGCTCATTTTGTACATTTAAATCCGCCTCAAGTATAAATACGGTATAGATTTAATGAATAGCTAATCTTCTAAGCAAAATCGGTAGAACATAACTAATACAGTAACTCATAAGAGATAACCTATTGCGATTTTACTTAAACATAATTAGTGAAATCAGCTAACAAATGCTTCAAAATTTTTGGCAAGTTCCTCTTCCAAATTTGCTATTTCTGCCTTTGCGCTCGCCCTTTCTTCAACATCACTAGAGCTTAAACTCTTTTCTCTCTTTGATATTTTCCTCTTAATGCTTTTTATCTGCAATCATTTCCAAGTCAATATGAAAATTTAGTGAACTCAGATTATCATAGCACTACAAAAATGAGGCGTGGTGGCGAAAGGTTAAAAGAAAGAGACCTTTCGATAGGGCCATCTTAACAAGCCATCCCTTCGACAAACTTTTTTCATGACAGTAGGACATATGTTCAGTTTCTTAGCTGCTATCTCAATGGGAAGATGGAGATATCCTGCAAAGTCTTTCAATCTCAACTTTCCAGTTCTTTCCCTCTGCTCTATTAAAGAAAAAAGTGATCAGAATGCAAAATACTACAATGCATAAGAGGACAAAATCTCTACATAAATACTATAGTAACAATCAAGTCCTGTTTAAGATGCATATTAATAAGCTCTCCATATGTAACATAGTACAAACCTGTGCAGAAAGGGGAATCTTTTCATGTCTCATGTCATTGCAATTTGCCTCGCTTTCGTTTTTCATCTCTTGCTGGTTCATTTGACAATCACCTGTTGATAAACATTTATCATTTAAAACACATTCAAATAGGGCCCCATTGACAGTGTTAACTTAAGCTAATAAAAAAGTATAGTAATTTATTTTATGCTTTTTCAGATTAAAGAAGTGATAGAAGAAGTTACTAACGCGAAATTGTTGGAGATAACTGAAGTAGACTATCGATGTCAAGAATGTCACCATCATCAGATCCAACACCTAATGCTTCATAGAAATCGCAGAGTGGATCTTGTAGCAAAATGTAACCTTCAAGCTTACAAGCCTCAAAATATTGAACTAAAAATTGCTTCACACTGCTTGTACTATCCTTGCTAAAACTGTTTGAGCAGAACATAGAAAAAAGTACATTATATTCGAGTAAATCACAATGTAACTAGAGCAGAAGAGGGCAAAAAAGAACTAACTCCGTACTCAAAAATTTGGGGCGACTCATGGCTTTGAGAAGAAAAATCCGAAGTGTATTTCTCAAGAACTGCATGACTGATCCTTCCCAGTGTTCCATAAATATTAAGCTTAGATATTTGCAAGCCTGTGAAAAAACCAAACTAGTAAAAAAAAACCAAAAAATTACATTGCTTTACTTATGTAAAACAATGAATTGTATAGACACTCACCATTAGAATGCGTTATTTCTCTTAGGATTTGGCAATTATTAGTACACAGAGATGTAGATGATGACACTGGCCAAACTGAGACATGACTTTTATTTTCAAACACCCCATCTTGAACTCCTGCCTCAGTATTAGTACTATTTTCAACCAAATAATCGTTACATTCATATGGAATGTCTAGCAAAATTGGATCATCGAATGGATCATAAACGCCAAAATCATTATCAGACTTCAAAATTGTTGGATCAAATGTAAAGAGTTCTTGATTCCATGCCGATTTTGGAAGTCCAATGGTTGGATTTTCATCAAAAAGTGAAATTTGGCCAATAGAACAAGAATCATCAAAAGGATCATGGTACGGCACAATGGCCGTTGGATAGTCCATCTTTCTTTTGCGACGACGCTTGGCCTAGACCAAGCGGCGCCACAGCGGAAACCTTTAGGAAAAGTCTCAAGAGAGAGAGAGAGAGAGAGAGAGAGAGAGAGAGAGAGAGAGAGAGGAAAATATAGTTGAAGAAAACAGAAATCGAATGGAGTTTTTGAGGATGAATAGTAGAAGGGGCGGGAGTGAAGGGGGAAGTTAAAGAACCGTTGCTTGCTTCATTTTGAATTTCTACTGTCGGGAAATTAAGGGGTAATCAGATGTGACGCGGTGCACCATGAGGATCACCAATACTTGTTTGAGGAACGACGACGTAATTAGCCTTTTGATTTCTCTTTTTCTTTTTTTCAAAATTTCTCTTTTTAGTTTTTGAATTTCTGAATTTTGAAACTATATAAGTTGCTTTCGCATTTGTAATCAAAAACATAAATTTGAAGCTAAAGAGTATGCATGTTAAAAAATGAAATTACTAAACCTAAACTTAAAGAAACAAAAAAACATTCAATAAAAACAGTGAAAAGCCAAAAACAAAACAAGTAGCCAGCCACCTATCCCAAATATATCTTATGCTGAAACTTTAATAGTATATGACAAGTTGAAAGATTATTATGTTGTATAATTTTGGCACCTATAATTATATAAGTAAAATTTTCTCTATTTATACTATATTAAAAGTACGAAAGCTCTTAGCAAAATGTCGTTCGCCTTTTTTAACCTTTGAAAATAGAGCTCACATTGAATAAAATAGTCATTTTATTAATTTTTTAATATTTAGAATTTTAAAATCAACTAAAGCTTTATTTATTATAGTAGGAAATCTCAATATTTAGGACATTTAAATCAACTAGATTTTTTCTTTTATAATTCAAAATCCTAATATTTAGGAATCAAATATAAGAACTATTTTTTACGTTAAAATACATTTTATGAATTCAAATTTCAAAGTTTAAATATCTCACCACTAAGCATTAGATTTGGGTTCAAGGCATACTACTTTTTAATTTAAAGTATTGATTCATCTATTTATTTTTTTTGTCCAATACTATTAATTATTCTAAAAGTAAAGCTAGACGAGGAATTAGAGTTAAAATAAGCCAGCATATGACTAATATAAGGGAATAAATTTCTATTTTCGCTGTCTCAAATTATTTATCGTAATTTTTAAAAATAGATAATTCAAATTATTTGTATTTTAGAAGTTTAAGACAAAATTAATTAATTTTTTTTTATTTTATCCTTAGTAGTAATTGTTCTTGAAGATGGAGATGGCACATAAATAAAGTAAATGTTCAATGAAGAAAGATTATATTAAAGACATAAATAAAGGTAAAATAGTCAAATTTCTTCTAACTAATTTTTTTTAAGGGCATATCAAATAGAAATACAACAAATAACTTGAGACAGGTGAAATATTTATATCAAGAGCCTTTAAATAGGTAGAAAGATGGTGAATTTGTTATTATTATGAAATATTTATTTTAACAACAAGAACGTAACTCCAACCAAACAAATAATTGGTCAATGACAGAAATCTCATCAATTGATAAATGATGATAAACGAATACAATTACAGATTTATTAGTACAGAAGTTGAACTAATCTACAATGTCATTCGTCTTTTTTACCCTTTAAAAATAAATTTCGCAATGGACAAATTTGTAATTTAAGTAACTTTCCCAATATTTAGGACTTTAAAATCAAGTAATTTTTTTTATTATTGCCTAATATTTAGGAGTTCGAGATCAATTAAATAATGATAAAATATATTAAGTAAAAATAAGAGAATTTAAAAAGTAAAAAGTAAGTTTCTTTTCAATGAAGGACAAAAAATATTATATATTCGTGTAAATGTTTGTGTCTATATCGTACAAGGAAAATTTTATCGTGCAAGATCAATTTTGATCCTTTATTTTCCTTTCCATACAAAAATATTTTCTTGGTTGTTTAAATTATATTTTATTAAATTGTTTCACACTTATAATTATTTCATGTGTTAATTTTCCTAATATTTACCTATTTAGGATTTTCAAATCAGTTTTATTTATCAAATATGTATTATTTGAACCATGGTATAAGTCTTAATATGTAAAATTTAAAATAAATTAAAAATTCAATCATCTTTTACAAATTATTTTCTTAAGCAAATATTTAATTTATTTTGATATAAATTTCTATTTTTTTAATAATTTCTTCTTCTTACATATAAATATATTTATTAATTGACGCGGCACACACGTGCAACGCACGTACACTAAAAGTAGTATATATATATATATATA